TCAAATCGGTAAAACAACGTTTACATATGAAACATCAAACGATTGGCATTTTTCGTTTTTGAATTATGTAGATAAGTGATGGAAAAAAAAAAGACTGGAGAAAATTATTTACTTCATTTTATTTCTCTCAAGTGTAAAGCGAAAGCTGGCGATTAGGGTATTGTTTTCATTTTGATTCTAATATGATGAGTGATTGATAGGCTAATGTTATCAAAGAAAGCGTGCGACGGAGATAATCTAAGCCATCAATTTTTTAAAATTAATAAAGATCCTCTACGTCTAATTACATGATTTGTTTTTCTATATAGCATCATTAGTCGTTCGATATCATTTATTTTTGGGCTTAATTACTCGTCCCTACTTGTTTACCACTATAACACGTTGGGTCTTTTTAATGCTCTCGCCGTCTCGAAAAACCGTAGTGGAAATAAAATGGTTAAACAAGAAAGTGTATCGTTTTTTTTTAATCGTTGTTTATAACCTGAAATATGAATCGTTGGCTAGTTGGTTTTTCCAATGTCCTACCAAATTTGGTATATTGTTTCGAAATTCCATTCCCGTAATGCGATTAAGATAAACATGACTATTTTAATAATCGGGATGGGTATTTTTTTTTTTTTGGTCGAAAGATGGGTCATTTATTAGTGACTATTTTGATTTAAAATTTTCTTTTTCTATTTTTAATTAGAAGATGATGTTTTGCACGGTAGATTTAAGATCTGCAATTAGTAATTCATTGCAGTCTCTCTAGTGCGATTTAAAGTTTTCATTATGAAGTTGAACAAATATAAAAGATCATTGAAATTGCAACATTTTAATCTATAGTAGTCTAGCAATTCAAAAAAAAAAAAAATGTAGTAGTCTAAACAATTAAAATTTCATGTAAAGTTTTATTTTATTTATCAGCTATCATTTTTATACATGTTTTGTTTTAACTTTGATCGATCAACATTTTATACATGTTTAGTTTTGTTTTAACTTTGATCGATTACACACGCAAAATAAAAAAAAAAAACTGTATTTTCCATGCTATTTTGGTAATAGATTATTTTCCCCACACAAATTAACGTTAAATAGATGGGACTTAAAAAAAGGTCGTTTTACTTGTTCATTACCGGTTTTGACTTTGATTCTACCTATGTGTCTATGCAGTAATGAACAAAATTTTGATGTTTTGTGTTTCATGCGTTTGTGATACGCCAAATTCATTAGTCTTTTTAATGTGTTTGCTAAAGGCTTAAGCGTGTATACTCGTTTTGTTTGTCCGTCCTAATTCTCCAACGTATCTTATGGTTGTAATATGAACGATATTTCTTTTAAAAACTCGATATGTTATGGTTATAGTATGAATTAAAATCGGTATGTCAATTTGCGGCAACCACGTGTAACTATATAATAATAGAAAAAATTATTACATAACAAATTGTTGACAAAAAAAACAAATATTACATAACAAATTTGCCCACGTCCCTTTAAATTAAAATAAAATGCACATGTTTTTGTCTTGTTGCTAGCGTTTACTATATATCTCGATGATTCATTAGAATAAGAGAAATTAACACATTACGCATCCAGTTACGTATACGTTCCAGTGTTCAACAAATATTTATTAACATTATTTTGAAAAAAAAAGTAATCATTTTAGACTTTGTTATTCTCATTATTGAACCAATCATACAATATTAAAAATCTATTACATAAGTCATAAAATTGAGAAATTATGTCATCATAATATCGTATTACTACCGATACCTAAAAGAATTGGGTAATGACTTATGAGTACTAATCTCTCGTAAGTCACCAAACATTGTGCAGTTTTCAGGGGTTTTCGTGCTTTTCAAACCAATTTTTTTATCACCACTTTAAAATATAAATTTTCCTCAATCATTACACCTTTCTTTTTCCTACAAACTCATTTCCTTCTAGAATTTACTTCGCGGTCACTCTTCGTATTGACAACTGACAAACGTGTGACCAATCTGAATTAAGAGACTCTATCTCATCTAGCGACTTTCCTTCTTCATAGTCTTTAACCAAACCCTCTGACTCATTCAACGTATTTGAGTCACTTTAGTCTCTTTGCTCTTCTTCCCAATTGTTTCTTTATCTTGACTATTCTTCAAGTTGGATCATAAACGTACAATGTAAAAAAGAATCCAGGTTCTAGTTGGGCTGACTGTTGAATACTCAATCTTGATTCTTGAGTGTGATTGACACCAATAGAAGCAAAACAACAAGTCAAGATTGAGTCTGAGTAAATGCACATGAAGGGGAAAATGCAACAAAACAAAAAACTTTTAATCACCTTAAGTTGATGAACATATATAGGCATGTAATTGTCATGTTTTTGTTGATGTCGGATGATACGACATGATCAAATACATTGAAGGATGAGGCAGATGATATTAGATGGAAGAATCCGTCATCTGAAAAACAGAAAAAGGGATCTTAAATCAACAAGAAGTTGTGGTCAGTTTTCAATTTCTTATGAACTTTAAATCGCAACGTTGTTTGATCCCTTGTTGCATCAGTAGTATAGATCTCATGTTCATCTATAGAGCTACATGTTACATACAAAAATTGTTGTTATTAGAAGAATGCTGGATAGGAATTTAGGTCTCCTCCATTTCTTTATTTTTTGATCCTTGAAACGAAATTAGATTGTTACTGATGATGAGACAAGGGCTTGTCTAGGCCAGTCCACTGAAAATGAATGTTTATAGACACAACCTTTTGGTTTGGTACATATTAAGAAGAAGATGAATAGCTTTGGTAGTTATATTGCACTTCACCCATCAAAGAATTGTGATTGTTTTCTAGTCATGTTGCAATTTAAACATAATCGTTTCGTCAAGCACATTTCCAACTATATACCATGATGTTCTTCCTAGGAATCTCCAAGATCAAGAACATGGTTTTTGAAGAGAATTTAGTCTCTGAAACACAACCTCAAGATCATTATCCTCTTGGTTTTTTTGTCCAAGTAAATATAGTAGCTGTTGACTTTCAGAACTCAATGCATCTCACCCAAAGTCTTTATGAGTGGATCAAAGTGGTAAGCATTAAGAAACAAG